GTAATCCTGTCCACCTATTAAAAAACACGTCCCCCCTCTATTAAGAGAAACTCGGTCGCATTTTTTTAACATAGGGGATCCCTGAATCGGGGTGGCCCAAAATAGCGTCAGTGGAAGGATCCTTGAATCATTGATGAACTCATTGCAGATCCAATGCTGATTTCGTGGCAGGTGCAGTAGTATGTTGACCTTGAAGTGTAGATTTCGTGGCAGGTGCAGTAGTCTGTTGACCTTGAAGTGTAGACCCGCTTTAGTAGAGCCATGGTCAAAACATACACATATACAATCAACCGCGGCATGTTTGTAGGATTGGGGCAAGAGGATATCAACCTGCCCAGAGCCAGACAGACAGCAGGCAGGGGAGGGACAGCCAGCGGGAGAGTCAGCAACGCAACATTGTCGATTTTGAGGGTGTATTGGGACCTATTTTGAGGGAGTTTTGGGGGAACCTAATAATCAACACAAAAAAACTACCCCCAAATCGACCATTTTGGTAGTTTAGTAGCGGCTTGAAAGGGCGGTAATATAAAAACAAATATAAGCCGTATTTTGGGTTTCGGACGTGGTGATATTTTAAGTGGGGAGGTTTACAATAGGTACTTGGGATTATATGGTATCCGGATGGCGTGTGGGTGTTTGTATGTCTAATAAAGGGAGATCGTCTGGGCCACCTGGGTAGACTGGTCGATGGTTGCTTTCTTCCAGCAATGCACTGGTCGACCGTATAGACAGGTTCAAGATGGACCGGAAGCTTGGGGTTTGGGACCAGGGCCCGGAAGCTTGCGCAAAGGAGATCATCATAGGTCCTCTTTTTTGCCACCTGCAGCAGTTTTGACGGCGATACAAGGAAGGGTAAATCTGAATGATGTATTTTTTCAGGTGGATTTGACAATGTGAATCCATGTGCTTGTGCTTGCGGAAGGACGGGACCTACTGTTTGTCCTGGATTTAAGGAAGGTAAGATACCTTACAAGGACCATTTGTAAAGGTTCTTCAGAGGTCACTGCTGCGTTAAAAGACTCATGATTTCTCATGTCGAGTTCTAGCCACGCATGGATTGTTTGTTGGATTTGCTTGCTGAATGTAGAACTATAGTAACACCTTTCTTGGCTGACTCGGAACTGTGGCATAGCCTCATACTTCGGTCTTGAATCAGTCAAGCTCACAACCACAGTTGCTCGTGCTGTTGGTCCCTACTGCCACTTTACGAACCTCTCACCAACTCTTGGTCAGGATGGGATATCGCATATATATATATATATATCGCATATATCTCCAGATTGCCTCCAGAATATCGCACAAAGCCATCATTTGCTGGATCTCGACGCAAACAAAGGGAGATGTTTTCCAGGGAAACACATTCATGGAGAGTGGGTATATAGGTACAAAACATCAAGAAAACTCTTCTCAACGCCAGTTCCTCAGAATTTTCACCTTTGGCCATCTTCGGAGCCTCCACCTCCTGCCTCCCCCCCTCGCTCCCAGGCTGCGCCTCTCCATGCGCAAGTTCAGCGCCCGCGCCCGGCTCCACGCCGAGTCCCAGGCCGCGCGCGATGGGCGTCCCGACGGGAGCGACGCGTTGCGGCGCTCGGGGAACCCGAGTGCTGCAAAGGACCGGGTTCCGGTGTGTCCAGTCCAAGGTCGTTTTGGTGTTTTTTTGGGGGGGAATCAAGCGGGTTAAACCCCCAAAAAGCTACTGGTGCATCTTGTTTTGGTTATGTGTTGGGTTTTATATTATAGGTGCATGTTGCGGTGTGTTTTTTCAGACTTGGGGGGTGGATCGGCAGCTGAGCGATGTCAGAATCTTCGAGAAAAGTAGAGTGGGGCATGACATTTTGTGCATTCTGTGGACCAACAAGCAGAATTTCTAAGGCCACAGTTTCCCTCAAGAATGTTGGTACTTGGCATGCAGATGCAGATGCCCTTTTAGCATGTCTTCTCGCATCTTTGTCAATTGTTCGTGTCCACACCTTATGTGTTGTCATCAGACATCGGAGACATTCATGTCTTAGTCATCTTCATGTTCAACACATGTTCATGTAATATCATGTATTAATGGAATTACATCGATATATTCATGTTTCATATTCATACTCATATTCATGTAATCTTCCTCACTTATATAGCTTTGTGTTACTTGTTCTTTCCTCACTCCTTTCGCCAGCATGTTCTCCAGATCGCAGCTCCTCAAATCCACCAGGACGTGAGTTCCTTGCTGAATGTCTCCCCCAGCGAATGGTTCACCGCACGAGTGGATCACGCAGCGCCCTTCGGCGTCTTCGTGGAGGCGAGGGACCCCAGATACTGGTGGAAGACTAGGGAGTACTGGTACTGGATTGCAATCAGCGAACCTGGTCTTCATACTTGTAATACTGAAGGCAAAATCTCATGTCGCCATGATCTGGGCTTTGAAACTATCTCGGAGTAGAATTGTGCCAATGTTATTACTGCATTCTTGATCGAATTTGGGCGTTTGATGAAAAAACAGCGGCTGGCTATACAGTATAGCTTGCTTATCCAACAGCAAACCCACCAAAGGTGCCCTCTGTCCAAGAGCAGACCCACCACAGCAGCAGACCGTCTTCTCCGCTCAGATGGACCTGCCCGAAGACTCGGGCCAGGCCGAGAACGCGGCTCCGCGCGTCGCGGTGGATGTGAGGAGTGGGGGGAACACGAAGCTTGGTGAGAGAGGTCTGTTCAAGAGAGGAGATGGATGCAGAGTGGCAGCTCTCGGCCGAGTGGCAGCAAAATTAGAGTGACGATCGAAGGTCCAGGTGGCGTTTTGCTGGAGCTGTTGCTTGTTGCATTATGTTGCATTGCTTTGGCATGGAGCGAGCTGCCATATCGAATGTTCAAAGGCCAACCGCCAGTAACGCCATCTATATTCCATATTGCTTGTGGGACACCAACATAGTACAGTAGTCCAGTTTGCCCAAAAATCTCTTGGAAAACAGAAACCGTTGCTTCAAACAAACGGTTGCTCCTAGTTCTTGCTGTGTTTGGTTCTTCTGGGGTTCCCTTTCAACATCATCCAACTGTTTGGTCAAATACGTCCGCGGAACAGCTCTCCCATCACCAGAACTGGCTTCGGATGCGCCGCCCCCTCGTTCCCTCCGTGTGCGCCAGCCGTTCAGCTCGCTCCAGGTGGTGGGCCTGGTCCACATCTCCGAAATGCGCGAGGGCCGCGTGGGCGACCCTGCCGCGGAGGTCGAGGACGACGGTGGGACGGAGCCGGTCACCGGGCCGCGTGGAGCACGTGGAGCACAGTGGAGCACCATGGAGTGGGAGAGCCTGGAGAGCAGCCCACGTGTTGGATGAGGTTGTGTTGCGTTGCGAGGCTGTTTGGCTGGTAGGAATATAGAAGAGGATGCCTCAAGTACTACTATAGTTGCAGTTCAATGACTTATCTATTCTGAATGTTATGAGGTCTTTCCTAGCCAGGCTAGCGGCTAGTAACTCAGTTTCAACTGCTTTCTCTATACCAGTCCCCCAAGAAGAACACATTCAACTCGACTTAGAGATCGCAAACGAGTCCACCGTCTCCACATCCCGAGAGGTCTCGCTCCGTCCTCAGAAGAAGCGACCTCCTCTCCGTCGCCCGACCTCCGCCGCGGCCAGGAGGGGCAGGAGCTGAAGGTCCGCATCATCTCGGTCGACTCGAGTACCGGGAGGCCGGGAGGCGTCCCTCTCTCTGTCTTTAGGTGATGAGGGTGATGAGGGGGTTGGCCTATGGAGGGTTGGCCAGGGAACCACAGTTGTCCATCATTTGGTCCATGGAAGTTCAATCTGTCTCACCAATCGTTTTAACAGAAGGATCCTTTTGGAAGGCTACGCGCGTGACGCGCCGACACGAAGCGAAGCGTTTTTTAGCGCGCGCAGGATCGGGATGTCCATGAAGCCGGTGCCCACCTACTGATTCCGAAGGAAAAAGAACTGCTTCTGGCTGCGCAGGCTTTGGCTGCTTTCTGGGCGTAGTCAAGTTGGTGGGTTTTTCTGAGGCGACGGCGGCACGACACAAGTGCAGGTGATGTCGAAGAAATTGACATGACTGGATACCATGTGACTTGTGATCATGTCAAAGGCGAGGTAAGTACTTCGGTGAAGTTTGATAGTCTGACACTGGGCACCACCCAGTGTCCTCAGAAGTGTGACTATATAGGAAGACCATCGGCTTCGCACACTGAAGATGTTCTCAAAACCCAAGCAGAACAGCCACAACAACACATCAACCAATAAGCACCGGTGCATGTCTGAAGCATTCTTAAACCATTTGTTAACCTCTTTGCAAGGAGGAAAACATGCACTCTTGAAGAGCTGCCAAACTGTCCACATGTGTGGCTTTGTTTCCAATTGCTTTTCCATCATCCACTTGCAGGTGGGCCATTGGAACACTGAAGATCACCCAAGGATGATCATAGTCATATGTAAGAACAGATAGGCACGCAAGGATCCACAGCAATCAGTTCTAACACCAACAGACCTTGCTTTTCCGTCGTGATGGAGATTAGCCCATCGTTTATGCACCAGGGACACTGGCGGGACTCGTGTAGCTCCGTTGGAAGTTCCAATTTGGTTGCCGCCGCCGTTGCAGAAGCAGGAGCAGCTGCTCCAGTAGGGCGCAACTTGCGACAAGTTGGCCATGTGCGGCTCAAGGACAGATCAAACTCCACCAGTCCGTGTGGGACTACAAGGTGGAAAGCTTTAAGCGAGGACATCACCTTCCAAAACTAGTAGAAGGGAGTTACTTGGAAGAGGTTCCATATTTGTTTGCATCATTCCAGCAGTTGGTCATACAGACCTAGCGACCACTCTAGTGACCTAGTGGTAGCCAGCTGTCACATGCCTTTATTTCTATGTTCCAACAATGAACAACCACTCCAAAACAGCATGAACTGGCAAGCTCTATATGCATGTGCTTTCTGGAAGTATGTCATTCTCGAGTGAATCACAACTGCACTCCCTTCTCTTCGTATTCTAAATCATTTAAACCAAAAGGGAAAGGGAGATGCTCTTCATCGGGAAAACCGAAGCTTTGCTGTGTGCGTGCTGAGAGTGGATGTGCTGCATCCGGCTGGCAATGTAGGTGCGCTTGGTTCAAAAGGGTCGTCTCGAAGTCCAGCTGTGTAGCCAGTGCATCGAATGCGCCTTAGGCTTAGGTGAGGGAAGTGACCAAGCCAGTGCTTGGCTCGAGATCCAGGTGATCCAAACAATCATGGAATTGGTCGAACCAGCTTTCATGGGTCACCTCACTCTTGAGTAGCGAGTAGCCTAGCTCGAATCCCAGGACCTCCGCTGAGAGCCCAAGAGCGCCAAAAGCAGAGAACCGTTTTGCCCAAGAGAGAGCTACCCAAAAAGGATCCCTTTAACATCGAAGAACCGAGCCGTGTTTTCTCCCAAAGAACCACCGCTGCAGTCCGTAACGTCACCCCTCACACATACCGAACGTCTCACCACCGTGCAGTCCGTGGGCCAGGCGATGCAATACGAGGGCCTTCCCTTTGTGGGGCACAGGTGGGCACACCGGGCACCGCCGGGCACCCGCCGGCCTCACCCAACACACCGGTCGACGTGATGCTCGACGTCCGGTCGAAGAAGTGAAATGGACCGAGGAAGGAGGAAAACCATGAGGAATCCAGGAAGAATATGGTTGTTTGAAAACCCGCATCCAGGATCCCAAAGTCGGCAGATTCCAGGGCGTTTCAGCGAACAAAGACATTTTGTTTGGGTCATGTTTTGGGAGCTCCAGCTGCTGACTTCAGTGAGTCTACTATGAGTCTACTGTCACTGCTAAAGATGTGGCGCTGGATCCACGGGAGATAGCTTGACAAATCTTGACAACATATTCCAAACTGCTCGTTGCAAAGGAACTCATGCCTTTATATCCTTTTATAGCATGTTATTGTTGATTTATTTGGCAATTGCCGCAATTGCCTCACAAACTTGGCTCAGGATTTGTTGGTCTTTTGATGGGGTCGTTGGAAGATCGAATCTCCTTGTGCGGATGCAGAAGTCCCGAGGCGTTTGCGGAACTTCTTGGCGCATTGGTACGAGCAAGGACTTTCGTTGGCGTGTCGGCGTTCGTCGACCCAGACAGTTGGATGGAAGAAAGGCGCTGACCAGGTAGTAGACTTGGAAAACAATTCTTTTTGTATTTGGAATGCAGCAAGAAGATCAATGAATGTGCTGTGGCACTGTGGCATGGGCCATGGGTTAGTAAGTACATGGCAAATCCTTTTTTATAGAAGCAACAGCAAACAAAGACCCAACGTATTACGTATGGATGCCTGATCAGGGAGCAGAACATTGTCTTCATCAAACATCATCCGGTTTAAACCGCACCTGTTACCGACTGCTTCCGGCCCGGAGGCCATCGAAAAATCTCCAGTGGGTGTCCAAAGAGATCTCGGTGCGTTCCGCAGCAGACGCCGGAGCCTGCCGGTGGACGGTGGACGGTTCTGACCTCGGTTCGGACGGCGGTTCATGTGCTCAGGATCTCCGCTGAATCTGCTGGATGCCTCACCCGAGGTGTGGCAGCTGGTCGAGAGCGAGACGTGGAGGAAGGGAAGTCAGGTGTTGCAAGGGTGGTCAGTCGGGGATGTTCGGAAAAAGTGCTTCGGATTTATCGACTTAAAGTTGGATCTGACTGCCGTGGGTTGGCCCGCATCAGCGGGATATAAAATAGACATGGACATTTGCGTTTTTTTCTCTACATTTTAGTTGGGGTGTTCCATGTCCATGTGACTCGTACTGGTATCATCTCGTATCTGTCGAAAGGCAAAAAGCAACAGTATAGTAAATATATTGTTGTTGCTTGTTTACAGTATATAATATTATATATCCCAGACACTCCATTGACCCCCCAAAACCACCCCTGGCCTGATCGGCATCTATGGCAGTCCCATGGACTGTTTGGGTATTATGAATTGTTCAATATCAACCCATGTTCCCTGTCCCTCAATCATGAGCCACGAGGCGCCCAGCTTGGATGAGGATGCAGGCATGACCCGACGGCTGACCGGACGGCGTTCGCCCAGCGCAGTTCACGGTGCTGGTGAAGATCGAGGATGATGTGGTGTTTGGGGCGCAGTTGAGGTGGATCATGTGCAGGTAGAACAAGGGTTTTCACCCACATTCGGTTAGAATGAAACATGTGTTCAGTCTCGCACATTGACAAGGACGTCCAACAGAGTGAAGTGGCTATAGTTATATAGTCTAGTTCAGCCACGGCTAGCGAGCCGTTTTCACCCACGTGCTGTTTTTGCGTGTGCAAAACGAAGGGTGTGATTCTCTTGATCTACAAATCCTGCATTCATGGAGCCTTGGAAAGTGCTAAAGCATCTTCATTCATCAAGATCCAACAGTATAACTACAGTACTACTATACTATACAGTGGTTTTCGAGGATCTACACACGATCTATGGACCCTTCTTTCGGTCCATAAGGACCTACTATGAGGTTGTACAGTGGTGTCCCTGGAGGTCGTAGTTGACCCGGAGTCCCTTGCATGTCTCGGTACCGGGTCAACTCGGCTAGCTGGCGACTCGGATCTTGGGGGTGTTCACCCGAGAATGAAGCTGGTTGGGGCGGCCAGCAGCCGGGCAGTTCCAGGTACGTAGTTATTGGGTGTTCTTTAGTGCGTAGTAGATATAATAGTGCAATATATTTGGACAGTCCCAAACAAAAATGCACTCCCGAAATCAGACCACCACACCATTGCACAGAGACTTCCCAGTCGCGGCAAACCACTTCAGTTTCTGGTGCCGTCGCAGCTCACCAGGCGAAATCAATGAAGAGGCGATCTTCCTGAAGGACGGCGACCGAAGCGCGAGCGAGCGCGACAAGGTGATTTGCTGTCCAACATCGGAAGCGCATCGAGGGAAAAAACACTGAGCATGCCAACACACTGAGCATGCCTTCACCTTAGGTGATTCTGTCCAGTGTGCTACGGCTACGTTCCAAACAGTTTGAAGAGAAAAAAGGACCTGGTGATCTTTAGTGACTCGTACGTGAGGGGTGAGCCGTTGACCATTCAGCCAACGGCGGCCAATGGTTCTGAAGTTCGGTCGAAACTGACGGTGTTGGATGTTTTTTTCCATCAGATATGGGTTGTAGAGGAAAGTAGTCTTCCAAAGGTCCATGCCATCAGGTTCCATGCAGGTCTCTTCCCGGGTGTACCTCCTTTTTCTTGAGACAGTTTGAGACCATTCAGAAGGACTTTGGAGTGGTTCAACATCGAGTGGTTTTGGGGTTGCAAAGATGTCATTGCTTACACTTGGGGGTATAGCTGGCATTGGGCAGCAGGCATGATGTGCAGCAGAAATGGTTCCTCCATGTTCCTCCATTTTTTCAACTTATTGGGATTGTTGGCCGTTGTTGGCCATTCACAACTACTTTGTGGCGTGCGGACAGCCACCAAAATGGCCACCAACCTCTTGAGCAAGTACTGCAACTCTTTCCAAAAGAAGTACGGGAACATACACGTTGGTAGCGAACGCACGCGCTTGGCGCGAGCAAAGGACTACTTCCAATCGCAGGAGAAGGCTGGGGATGTGCACGAACCTTTCTGCAATCTTGGAAGAACTCCTGCTCCCAGAATCATTTCAGGAGAACATAACTGTAGATGGAAGATGTCACCTTCTTTGTTCATGAACAAGGAGACCCCGCTGCCAAAGAAAGTCATTTATTCTACACCACAAGTTTTTAGCAAAAACCACTGACATAGCACGTTCCGGCGGTTGTTTCCACTTGTTCTTCCCTGGGCACGCCGTCTCACACAGTGGTCGGTTGCCAGGCTTTCTCGCCGCAGGGGAGTGGGTTTTAGTCTCAGTGCTATATCCAGTGGGTGAATGAATAATACACCCCACTTGGGTCTGTCCTAGGAACCTGTAACAGTCAGTAAACAACTACCAGGACTCTCCAGTCGGGGTGCCCTGTTTGGAAGCCAGGCGGCCGGTAGTGTGGGGTAGTCCAGCCAGGACACCCCGAGGGTCGGAGGGTCCTGGTATCAGAGATGTTGGCCTACGACCCCATCATCATCCATTCACAAGGATAGACCCGACACCCACAGCCTCTTGGATTTGTTTTTTTTTTCACTCCTTGTTTCCCCCACAGCCTCTGAGAGAGAAGAATCGTGGTGAGGCATTCCATATCTTGCTGAACTTTGTGAGTGAGGTGGGCTGAACATGGGGGCGTTCCATCGCGGGGCGTTTCAGCATGCGGCACTCTGCATGGGGATCGACTGTCTTCCATCCTCGGTAGCAGACCACTCTTGAAGGCTTTTGTTGGATAAAACATGTTTCGAACCAAAAGCGAGGTGAAGGTTTGTATAGGCTTGGGTTTGTACGGATTGCTTCAATGAAACACCCGAGCCTTCCGGGTGTTTCGGATCGGAGGCTCGGCTCCGGCTCGGATCCGGCTCGGCTCCGGGTCGGCCGCCGCGGAGCCGCGGATCGCATCCGTTGGGACCGATCCGACTGGGACCGGGTGCGGTGAAACGGACACCTGGCAACCGCGGTATGGTACGGAGATGAGCATAGGAAAGAAGAAATCGGAAAGGCCAAGGCAAGGTTGAAGGTCAACCAGGTCTTGCCACATTGTCAGACAGATGGAGAAATGCATTTAAAAGAGTTTGTTCACCCAGGGACATATTCAACAGCGATTGATGGACAAGAAACAAGTGTGTTGACGACGTCAATGCATATCAGTGGTACATTCAGGGGGCCTTTTACACATCTAGATTCACTTGGGACGGAAAAGTGCAAGCTTAGCCTTGAAAAGAAAAAGGAACCATTATAACCACTATAATTACAGAATGGCGGTCGACCATTCCATAGCCGACCCTGCCCCACCACCCGCAGGTGTCGATCCATCTCAATTACTGGCTGGCTGGGACACCTGGCATCGAGTCGCCTAGAAAGAGTCCAGGCCGAGAACGAACCGATCCATTGGATCCCGAACCTCACACGCGTGTCCCGTGTCGACGTAACAAAAACGTGTTAAACGGCAACTCTTGAAGCGTCGCGTCTCGGGGGGGAGCTTCAAGAGTCAGGCAGATGGGTTTCATCCATCCCTGGGTCCAACAGAGGTTGAAGGACCCTGTAGCCTATCCCATAGGTACCCCAGTACGGTCCTAGTTCAGGTCACTCAACCTCTCTTGGCTTTTCATCCAGTCGACGATCTCCAAGAGGCGGATGGAACGTTCCTTCAGTCCTGACGGTCCCATGGGGCGAACCTGGGGATGGCATGGAACTCGGTCCCATGGGACGGGAAGAAAGTTGAGGATCCTGACGGTCCCAAGGGCCCGGGTCCACAGACCTTCGGCTCGTTGGTTTTCATGGCTTTAGGAAGAGCTCGGGAGTGTTTGTTCGTCTTCGGACAGCGGAGATTGGCACCATGATGTTTCAACTGTGAACCACGACATACCATGACTGTTGGACGCCCAGTTGCTGGAGGTGTCCCAAACATATCCTCCTCGTTTCGAAATGCCGACCTGTTCGTTGCTCCGAATGTCCTCAAACATGGCAAATCGGCCGGCCGGTGTTTGCAGCAAGTCTACTTTGCACGAAGCAGTGATAACACATAGCACCCAATAGCACTCAAAGCCACAGGTAGATTTGTGATGATTTGTGTTAGCTCATCTCAGCTCGCAAGTCTCCTCTCGATGTTCTCGGTGCTTGCCAGATCTGACCCACCTCCATCCGCACTCTCTTCATCCCTGGACCCTCCAAAGTACCTTAGAAAATTGGACATTACCCCATAAGAAACAGGTACGACTGTACCCATTTTCCGAGGTACGAACTGAGGCTCCAGGTCCATCCATCCCTCCATCCGCGCCGTTGACGCCGGACAGCTCCGATCAGGATTGGACCACGCCCATCCACCGACGCCCGCGGTGGGCGCATCAATGGGCCAGGCATGTGGGCGGCGCGGTGCGACGGCGACGGCGTCGGCGACGGCGACGGAGGCGATGTCGTTCGAGACCCGCAGAGGGGACACGTCCACACTCCATGGGACTGCCATCTATGCCTTCGGGGGTGCGGTTGTTGGGGTCGAAAGCGTTCGCAAGCGATGAATCGGTGGGATCCGAACGATCGCGATCCTGGGGACCCCCCCCCTTCCGCTGCGCCTTCGGCGGCGGGGCGCTTGTTGGGCAGCAGCGGCACAAAAGCCGCCGAGCGGCGAAGGTCGCGGCCGAGCGGCTCCCTTCCGCGTCTCGGTCGAGGAGCTCGGTGTCCTCCCCCCGTAGGACGCTTCGGAGAATCGACTCATCGACCTGGTCGTTTCGTTCGAGGAACGCCTGACGGCCTCGATCTTTTTGGGAGTCCCTCGGTCCTGGGGAGCTTGGTAACTAGAAGAAATATCATGATCCAGTCCATACATATGGACCATAATAGGAAACAAAGAACGTTATGGAATGTTCTGTTATGGATAACCATAACATAATAACTTACAGTATCCATAACATTCCATAATAGGAAACAAATAACATGGATGAACATGGTTTTAAGGTAATGAACGTGTTTCGGACGGAGATCGAATCAGCTGTTTCTGCCTTTCCGTAAGGAGCTGTCCCGTTCCGTATCTTTCGCGAAATCGCACCACTTTGAAGCCATCCGCAAAAAGGTGAGAAGAGCTTTTTTTCGTTGGGAAGACCACATAAGTTGGTCTTGTGACATGGCGAACTCCGTGAACTCCCAAAAACGCCATGTGTTGAGTGCACCCAGAATCATGGCATTTCGAGATGTTGAAAGCCCGATCCAGAGAAGCACATCGATCCAGAGAAGTTAACCTCTGCAAGTACCTGGTGGGTCCAGAAAAGACTCATTGAAGATTGGGGAGGACATAGAGGGGTGACCATCCCAAGTTGTTCAGAGTGTGTTCAGAAAGTCCCGGATCAAATCTCTGCCAAGTTCTTCAAGTCTAAGTATGATTGTTGTGGCTCACACTGCTACATATACAAGTTCCAAACTGAGATCTTGCAGGCAAATCGAAGGGCTTGCACTTTGAAGCATTTTGAGGCAAACCAAGACACTCGGATCGATGCCCTAAATCTGCGTGAGGACTTTGGAAGAACTGAGCCACCGGTGCTTGGTACTCATCAAAAAGAGGGCAGAATTCATTCGCGTTCCAAACTCTTCAGATGACAGATCTGCACATGTTTCCGTCTTTTGACGCATGTCACGTCGACAGCCATGGCACGTCCGAGCGTGAAGAGGCTGTGGATGAAAAAGGGCGATGCCGCAAGCCCTGCTAGACTACAGAGTGGGGACGCTGCATTTCGTAGTGTTGCTACGGTGCATCACACCCTTTAAGCCCGCTTTAGTGATGTTGAGTTCAGCGGCAGGATGCGAAGGCTTGGCCATAAGTACAGATGGCTTTTGAGCCATCAGCGCCGCCAAAGCACAGCCACCATCTCACCAAGCAAGTTTATCACGCACAACTACCGTGCAAGGCGTACTTTCCAAACATCACCCTTATGTCTGGTGCTCAAGTGCACCAATCCCTCCAGCCTTGTGGGCCGTCTTCTATACACCTGCTCAAAAGGTGGCTATCACGTGCCGCACACGCGCCACGTGCCGCACACGTGTCACCTGCTTTGAACACTGTGTCATGGCCTCTTGGGCCTGCTGCGTTGATGCGACCAGACAGGAAGTTGTGGCGCAGCTATCTAGCACTGCGGGGTGCCACAGCGCCACGTCCGAACGAGCGATTTCCACCCGTGTGAAGCGATGGGGGTTGATACTGCCACTGTACTTGCCGCACGGTTTTTGACGGACAACTCCTGCGAACTTGTTTTTTTCCCAACAGGGGTGTCCACTTCCATGCTTGTTGGATTTAGACCGTTTTCCAAGATGAACCGTGCGTCATTTAGGGTGGCACTTGTGGGAATGTATGGAATGTGGTCAACAAACAATCAATATAGCTAGCAACAATACTGTCAGACTTGCGCTGCAACACATGATGGAATGTCGGGTTTCCGCGGTTCAGTCCTGTTGTTGTTGAGGTTGGGGCGCCGCCGGCCACTGGCCCAGCCCGAACGAGCGGCCGCAGAGTTTGCGCGTCTGAGTGAGGCGGGTTGGGCGGAGAAGATATGTTCTTGGTTTCATGCCACTCCAGGGTTGCAGCCAAAAAACAACATGTTTTTAAGAAAACAATGTTCATCCGCTAGAAGTGGTGCATGTGGTGCTAAGTGCACCGGGTCGAAGAGTGGGGGTCACCAAAACGTGAAAAAATTGCATCCTGACTGCAAGTCTGACCTGAACATAGACACCTTGCTTGCTGATCGGATCTCCCTCTTTCATCTCTTTCAATACCAATAAACGACTCCCAGTTGACCGTTGACCTCCAAAGACCGTCTCCTTTGAGTGAGTCGTCCACCGAGGTAGGAGACAGAGAGCTGACCTGGTTGATTGGTGATTGGTTGGGGGAATAGAAATATGTTACTAATGTTTGTATTGTTTCATCGTCCAGGTTTTTTTGATTGTTCCGGTTCAAATGTTTATAAGTGAAATCAGATCATCAATCATGGTTTTGCTAGATTGGTTTGCGACAGCAGGCTCAATGGGGCTTGCTTGTTGTTTCTAGGTTTCCCCAACAGAAGATCTCATGTTTCTTCTGTGTTCAACTCATCTTACTAGTTCCCTAGGGCTCCAAGTACGTCAGAAGGTATTTGGACCCTCCTGGCACCCACCCCAGTCACACCGTTAGAAAGTACGACTGGAGCCCAAACGGGTTTTGGAAGATCACTCGTGGCCTCGTGGCTTTTCACTCTTCGTCACTCGCCCCGGTCACTCTCCGCTCTACTCACCGGTCGGTCGACCGGTGTTGTCTCGGAAAGGACCTCTGCAGATTGCTGGCCTTCATCCAGGCCGCGGGGCTGTCCGGTGCGTAACTGGGTGGAGAGTGAGAGAAGTGAAGGCCTGTGGGGAAGGCCACTCTGGGCGATACCATCCAGTAAGCTTTTGAAAGTGGAGCAGGGCGTCTAACATCGTCTACGCGTAAGTAACATCATGGTAAGGTTTGAGACTGCACCACTTCGATGGATGAGCGGCTCCTGCGTAACTGTAAGGCGTAACCGACCTGCGTGCGCAGTGAACGCATGAAAACAGATGAAACAGATCTCTCGGGATGGTCCTCAGTGGGTGATGAAAAGATTAGAAATGGCATGTCAACAACGTGACGGAGGAGGAGGATAAGGCATCAGTCGAAGAAGGCTATCACATCTTCAAGGGCTACAAACTATCTTGCTATATGTCCGTGGAGTCGCTGGTCTTTCGCTTCGGCATGTCCGTCCTGAAGATCGAAAGCGGAGTAAGATCGACCGCACGTGTTCGCATTTGGCAGGTCGAATGCGAGGTGTTCATGTGTTGACGACGGACAGTTCAATCCTTCTGGATGAAAGGTAAAAACACCCCCTGGAAGAATCGTAGTTTCGTGGAAGTGGAGCTCTGCGCACCTCTTTGGTCTTCGGAGAACGAACGAAACGGGTCATCCGAGTCCTCGTCCTCGTCCTCGTTCAGCCATGCGTTCTCCACGTTGGCCTACGAGGACGTTCGGACCAAATGGGTCACTTTGTCTTCTTCACCTCCAACGGGACGCTGCCGAGTTGCTCAGGAACCTTTTGGTTCCTATGAAGTCCTTCGGGCTAATCCCAATCACAGACTCATGTACCAGGACCTTCCAACAGGTCACCACCTGCGACGAAGTCAAAAGCCGAACAGGCAGAGGAGACCTGTTGCGACCTGTACTGGGTATACAGGAAGTTCAGTGGATCGTGTTTTCAGGCACACGTGAAGCCCGGAGATCGGATGTTCATTGACATCTTCAACATCTCAGCTTGCAGCTTCAGCTGGGCTGGGGTAGGGAGTTATACATGTTTGTACATCATCAAGATCCATATCTATCCCCAAAACGTCCTAAGATACTCAACTGACAACCTCCGGATCTTCGTTTTGGAGGTCTTGCACATCTACTTGTTGGGCACGACCACCTTGAGCCTTCTTGCTTTGCCTCGCAGACGAAGCGTCTCGTAGCCACGCTGAGACCTCACTCGAGGGCCCGTCCCGCGACCAAAGGTGTGCCGGACCTACGAATCCCCATGGAACGGCTTATAGTCCATCAGCAGGTCCAACGCTGGCAGCAAGGCCAGATGAGAGCGTGACTTCATGTGACTTCAGCACGACTTCAGCACGACTTCCCCCACCAAAAACCAAACAAACAGCTCCACTTCTCCGATCTTCTCCGCCCGATCTTCTCCGCCCGGGACGTTGGGTACCCCCCCCAGATCACCTCCTTCGACCTGCTGAGCTCCGAGCTGGGCAGCCTGGAGCCGCTCGGCAGCGACCGCCGCGCGACTGCCGGACCGTGAGGAGGGCGGGAACGCACGCGGCGGCGGTGATCGTGGTGTTCAACCAGTTGGGGCAGGTGTATACTGGACAACAATGTCCATGTGAGTCGGGAGCTGCCTTTTTAGTCAATCTGATCAATTCTTGGAGTTGGGGGGTTGGTGAGTGTCAATGCCTCAAGATGGGTGGTAAGTGGTAGATGAGCATAGATCCTGAAGAACAGCTGCATGTTTGTCTCTGGGGGTAGAACTCTTGAATAACCTGTCTTCAGATTTTGCTGCCTTCCTCCAAAAGCCAAAGAAACTTAGGACATGTCCTCGGATCCACATGATCAGACCTTGCACAGATCCTCCCAAAAACCGCCGCAGCCGCCGCCGCAACGGGACGTCACCGGGGACGTCGGCGACGTCGGTCCAGGGCCCGGACCGAAGCGCTGCGCCGGAGCCTGGCGGGCCTCAAGTGGCAGGAGCGGGCGGATCGGTCCGGGTGGAGTCGCGCGTGGCGTCGCGTCGCGTCGCGTCGCTGTGTGAGTAATAGCCTGCGCGTGTGAGCTGAGTAGCGCGTGGCTAGTGCGAAAGGCTGCATGGCAATTCTTTTTGGGACAGGACACGTAGCAGAATGAAATCCATAACACCATGTGCAGCCTATAGGAGCTATATTTGACAGGAAGTAAGTGTTGACCATTTGGGAACAGAATTCGGGAACAGTAAGTGTTTGAAGTATCTTGAGTCATGTTGCGTGTATTCTTTTAGGAATACCATGTGCCGTTGTCAAAAATCCACGATCTCTCCGTCCTCCTTTTCTTCTTTTTTTTCTTCCTTCTTCTTCTTCTTCTTCTTGTTGAAGCCACCAAACGCACCGATATGGATTTTCGCGAGGATAAAGACATGATGTTGCCTCGTTTGGTGGATTAGAAAGAACCCCTAAGCCTAAACCTCCTTAAATCCTCATACAGACACATACAGATACATCCTCCTAAATATGTTCTTAAATCATCTTATAATATGTCAATTAGAGTCAGTTTCATTGACTTTCCGTTTGGAGCATGTATACCGGGATTTTTGTATGTCAAGACCCTGGTGAAAGTGTGCATGTTAAAATGCATTTTACATGTCAAGACTGCAGCCTTGCCCCCCACAAAAACAGTGTTTTTGCATCAAAAACAACGGTTTTAACAGAGATGGATGATCAGCTGATGCAGAGGGATTGTGCTCCCATGGTCCACCACAGTGTCAAGACTATGGGTGAACCAACTATCCAAAGCTCAAAAAAGGCCCAACATAGGATTTTAGCATCCGGACAAGACAGTGGTGAAAGAAACTTCTTTGTGCCTGAACGCCAGCTTGGTGCCAAGACTAAAGCTTAAAAAACTATCCGAATCACAAAAGGCACACCGGACAAGACAGCAGGTAAACACACATGCAAATGGCTTTGAAAGGGGAAGGTTTCCATAGGTTTCCTTTCAATGAAAAAGAATGGGCGCGGCAAAAAGGTGGGAAGCAAAAAAGGTGGGAAGCACGCTCCGAGTCAGCTTTTACCCCAGAGTCATGGCACGAACGACTTTTTTAGGATAGTGTCTGCTTCAGTGTCAAGACAACAGGCAAACAAACACAATTTGGCCTGCAAAACGCCTGTCACGGGCATGCTAAAGCGAACATGCCAGGTGTCAACTGAACGGTGAAACAGCTGTTTCCTAAATGTCAAGACTATTGGGAAAACCATGGCTGAAACCATTCCGACGGTACTTCGGCCAACGTCAAGACTATGGAACGAACTATATCCAAAATGACCACTCTTAAAATTGCAACTGGCTTGGGACGATACGTCAGAAATTGCATTTTCCAATTTCACTAAAAAAAGTCTACTTGGCTATCATCCAGGGTGACCCAATGTCTACCAAGCTCACGAAGGAGAATTGTAAGAGAGATGGAATGCGGGAACAGTGTTATTCACCGTTCAGGTGTGGCTGCGGCGTGTGAATTGATGCTTCGCCGGCATACTGCTCAAGAAGTGCAAAGCAAGCCACCATCTCCTGGAACAGTTTAGTTTAGTACTTTTCACTGTCTTGTTAGGGCTTGCATCCAAAAAGCAGAACCAGGCATGCCGGTTAATTTTCTTGTTCAACTTGTTGCAACTACCTGGCATTTTTCTCTGTGACATTTCCCGGCCAGCATGGCTGTTGAAGCGGGTGGGAGATGGTGGGAGTATGATCAAGGTCCCATCAACAAGTCAAGCGACCAAGCTGAGTGTCAAAAGTCCTTCTTGGTCTTCGCAACATGTCTCACACCTGACCCACACGGGATGCTCATGGTGGGATGCATGCTCACTCCAGCACTGCCATTAGTATGTCAAGCCGCATTTTTGCTGCAGGCGTCTAACTGTCATTTTTGATGTCTCGGCAGGTATCCTTTGGCGCTGAAGTAGAACTTCTGGAATGGAGCCACCTCGAGGCCAGTTTGATGAACTGAAACCCTGATGAAACCACACCTGGGCAACCACAGCTTGCTATCTGTAGAATCTCACCATGCCTCTACTGTAGGCTTCTCGTCTGCTTTAAAGTAGCCTGGCCTACCGGAAGTTGCGACAGCAAGTCCACAATCAAGTCTCAAAGGTAATTAGCTGCGCAACAGAATCGTGTGGAAGAATAACCATGCCCACTGCTGGATTGCCGTGGCTCAGCCGAGGTAAATGTATGAGAGAATTCAGCAATGTGTGATTTGTATATAATTCGTGTGAAATTTCCAAACAATAGCATGCAGTTTCAACAGAAACTGCGACCCTATCGCAAAATGCGAGGCTCGGCGGTCAGTTAAGGGCTTCAATATTTTGCATTTGTCCCATTTAAGCCACAAAGGGTGTTAAGCGCCAAACACAACCGCCGAGACGACGTCTCAAAGCTTTCTGTTGGTCCCCAAAGAGGACTTGCCAGGATCGTTGTCAGAGCGGACGCCGCTGAGCTCTTGATGGCAGAGATAAACCAGTCTTTCACCAGAGGGCAGGTGACAGACCAAGCAACCAATGGAAGTGAAAAGGACTTGGAAGCGCGAGCTGTCAGTCGAAGCTGGCAACCTTTTGCATGACATAGAAGTCTTGTGCTTTCTTCCTTTAACCATGGTGAGGATTAACCTGGTGAATCCCACTGGTTTATTTCCGAAATTTTTTCTACAGATTGCAAGTGCCATCAAACAAATGCAGCCAAGGTCCCCCTACGTCCACTAAATGCAATTTGGGGACCCCCACGTCCATGCCACTTAGGGTGGGCACATATCCAAAATTACTTAAGATGACTTATAAGGTGATTCAAGAGAACATAAGTATTCCACATAATCATCTGCAGTTGTGATCTCTCATTTGAGGTCTCTTCCTCTGGACCCACCTCCTAAACCCCACCACACCAGCGCCGCCTCGCCAGACGCGGGTGGCGGCCATCACGGCGGCGCGGCTGAGCCCGGGCGGTACGGCCATGGTGCCGAGGCGTCCGACTGCGCGCCGACCGGGGTGGAGCGGCCCAGCCGACCGTGGTGGGTGGGATTTTGGGATTGGAACCCATAAGTGGGTGGGTTTTGAGGCCAAGGGTTAAGCAGGTCATGGGAGACACAACGCCCGTCGTGTCGCATTGCGGGTCTTGGAAGGTCTTATAGATCTCTGAGGAGACGTCCGAAAGAAAAGGAACCGCCAGGGATGCAGTGGCCAAACCCATGAGGAGCAAAGGGGACAGTGAACAGGTAATCACCGCCTTGAGTTGCTGGTTCAAAGGGACATGAATTTGCGATCGCATAAGAGTATAGTTGTTGGTACGACTTCGAGGGTAGCATCTCCAACATATTTTGATACAGAAGAAGGATCCAATCCCAAAAATATGTAGGTATACTATGCAGATCTATACAGTGAGTGACTACTGTACGGTGGCATTTGTTGGAACGACCCGTGAAAAGGCTGACACGACCGCCGACACTCGTTGACACGACCTCCTCAGTCTTCGATGGTGTCCAGGCGATCCATGCGGCATTCGTCGGAGAGCCGAGGGGGATGGCAAACTACACGTCACATGGGTTTCCAGGCATGTCTGCGATATGGGCGATGGGATGCAATTGGCAGCTAGCTATGTAGCTGCTACCAGGACACCCTAAGGGGTGTCTATTGATAGCCCCGAAAAGAGGTTAAGGGGTGTCCACTAACCAACCCTTGTGGGTCCAAGTACAGCTTTGGCTTTTGGGTTGTATGATTCATGAGTTTCATGGCACCTCGTTTTGGGTCACCGAAGCGAGGGAGTGCGTTCCCAAAAGAAGGTGTGTCCAATTGGTTCCATAGTTGCACCATATAGTATCGGTAGCGCAGGTAGCGTATTGGGTCTGTAGCACTTATTCAATGCTTTTTCCGCTCACTTCTTGAGTACTTGAGCCACGTATTGTGGCGATAGCGAGACATCGACGTGAAACGTCCTGGGCATTGCACACGGTCCGTCTCTTTTAGCTCAAAAACCAAAAACAAACGGTCATCAAGTTTCCGAGAGGAGTGCCACAGTCCGCAGATCTGAAGCAAACTGCGTGACTTGTCTTCACACTTGTTCCCAAAAAGACTCAAATGCATGCATGGTCTGCGCACAAAATACATAATTTGGAGATATCACAAACAAAGATTCGACCATCAGTTCCGACGACAGATATCAACAGAAGGACTGTTGATCACACGCTCCGTTTACAATCTTCAACTGTGTCTCCAAGCGTGCACTGTCGCAACAACATGCAACCAAGTGTAATCAACACGCTGACCTGCACGTTCTATTCACCACACTCTTTCCTTCATAGGAAAGCCACAGTTCAGCAGGTATCAAGCGTTCAGCGTTCAAACACCATGTTCAACAAGCTGGTGGTGTACAAGGTTGCTGTCACTTCAAACAGTCTACGCTCGACAGCATAAGCTTCAACTTCTAAGATCTGGGCTGCTATGCTCTTGACAGGTTGTTAAGGTCAATGCCATCTAAGTTCAACGCACATCTAGTGCCACAAAAGAATTCTGAGTCGTGCATGGGTCTCGACCGTCTTCAATGCAGTTGCACATTGATTCCATCGAGAGTGACCAGAGTTTCGGTCAACCATTTGGTGGAAACATGTTGTGTACAGAACGAAAGCTTTTCAACTGTTTGCAAGTAAACTGTTCTCACTCATAAACGAACACACCGACTCCTTATGCTAAAGCACTAAAAAGGAACAAAAGGAAAAAAAAACTTACTTAGCGTCAAAAGGCACAGACCAAAAAGGAAAGTGTCACCGAACGCAAACTCGAATTCAAGCTGGATCCTCTCGATTCTCGAGAGAGAACTTCGTTCGTGAGCACTCATTTGGAACGTCATTGAAACACCTCGAAGGTCACTTATAGGGTTTAGGTGTTTCCACATATAGGGTTCCCTAGCCTGCGAACATGGCCCCCTAGAGGGGCGTCCTAAGTCCAAGTTTAAAAGCTATAGTAGCTTTAAAAAAATATCCATGTTTGGATGAGCATCAGACAGCTCCAAACATGTGACTTCTACGAACATCTCCAAGTTTAAGTCCAGACCTGTTTACGGTGCTCAGCTGAGCTGCACCTTCCTCGGCCTTCCGCCTGAGGTGGTTGGGATCCATGGGTTCGGAGACGGCCTTGTCGGAACAGGCGCAGGGGCAAGCGGCGGAGAGGAGACCGGGGAGAGGGAAACATGAAGGCGTGCGCCTTATCACGACGGTGGCGTTTCCTGGTTTCGACCCAAGAGATTACAGTGGTTTCGTGTGTTTTTGTTGCAACCCGAGATGTTGTCCCTGGGAAACGTAGTAAACCGGGTTGCTGGTGTGATCGTGGCCTGGACCATGGCCTGTTTAAACCGGGCGCTGTTGCTGACTTACTCGAAGCTGAGGCTCTGAGGTGTGAATCCATCGGTGAAATAGTCCAGCAGGTGTTGATCCAGCAGTTCCAGGATAGCTTGTCCACTGGTTACACAGCTATGGTCTGTACCAGTAAGAATGGTGTACAGTCAGTGGATGATCGCAGTTCCATGTCGGAAGGGTGGGGGGATGGTGTTTTGGTCCATGTCTAAACCGTGGAGGTGGAGGTGGATGGCTGTCCTTGCGGCACGGGCACCGCACCGCCCGGGCGGTCCAGGTGCCGGCTGGGCGGTCGAGGACCTCGTCCCTCTCCGGAATCCGACTCCCCACCCGATCCACCGGCGCAAGCGAAGAGCTTTGATTGGAGGGAGAAGCGCGTCTTAGTTTGGGAAAGAACGAAACATGTTCCATCCGAGCTAGAGTTGAGCAGAGCCCTTCTAGTCACGAAAGAACCATATACGTATTGCTATGGGGGAAGGGGTCCATGTCATTCGGTTGTGATTCTCACCAGTGAAGCTTGCTGAAGCTTCCCAACACCACGCCACCGACCCTTCGGGCCCTTCGGGCCCTTCGGGTCACGGACGAAAAAGGTGGCAGCGCTCAGCGAGAGGAGACCGACCTGCATGCGTTCAAGCGAGGGAGTGTGATTTGCTGGGCTAGATAAGTGAAACACGCCAAGTTGGTGGAGAATTTGGTAGATTCAGAAGATTGAATGCGGCTGTGTCCTCAAGCTTGGTGCATGTTCTTTGTTTGACAGCTTATACTTGAAGCTAGATCATGGATATGTCGCCCAATGGACTCGAAACCGCTTTGAGCTCCAGCAGTGGTCAGAGTTCTTAATCGACGTCGACCTGCGCAGACTTCGACCTCCCCCTGCAGACAGCGACGTGAATTGGCGAAGACGGAAATGCGACGCGACTGGTTGGTGCCCCCAACAGAAGATGTTCCGGGCATGCACAAGTTGTGTAGAGGTCCCCAAAGAGATTAGACCTTTGGCACAGATAGTCATTTTACGTTTGTGCGAACAGAAATCCAAAAACTCTGTGGCTCCTTTCGTCACTTCCTATTCCCAATATATGTCACTGGTTTGGGAGGCCCCTAAGAGTCATGAGGTAGTAGCACGAGAATCACTTTCTCAGTCAGAGAGTGCATATGCTAGACCAGCTTCTTCAAACCTACCTTTTTGGAATTCCCAAGTGACCTTTTTACAGGACCAAGTAAACCTCAAACCAGGACATCAAAGGATCACAGTGAAGAACCAGGGAGAGACTTGTTTGATGCTATGGCTATGACTAAGAAGTAGTAGCAGAAACATGCGTACTCAAGTCTTCATAATGCCAGACCATAGTCCCTTCTTGATGGGTTGATGGACGGGATCGCACACTACCTAAAAAGATCCACACCCAACAGACATACAAAAAAGGAACGAAACCAAAGGGTTCAATACGAAATGGTGCCAAACCACCACTAACCCCCTCCAAAAAAAAACAACAATTAAACCAGCATAGACCCATGTGCAGATATTTGAAGTAAGAACCCCATAGCTTCGCTATCTGGGGAATTATCAGTTGCTAGATGCAACGCCACTAAAGCCGGCCGTGTTTCTTGGCATCTTTGGGTGGCTTTCAATGCTTCCCACAGCACCGGGCCTTGTGGGATGCGAGGAGCGGCGGATGCGGTCCTGAGGAGGATGAGCTGGGATCGACCCGGGTGGAGCCAGTGGGGAGGGTGGGTTTCTGTGTGTGTACCGTCATTTTTGGTGTGTAGAAGCATCGAAGCATCCTGGGAGTAGATAGGATCTAGACAATTCTAGACTCTAGACACCTCTTCTTGAAGAGATCTTGATGTTTGGCAGCTGGCCTTTGCCTTCCGGCAATGAGGGCCAATGGGGGCACTGAAAAAGAACGGTAAAGTGGGCGGCCCAGAAGTAGGATTGCAGAGCGTGAAGACAATGTTGAGTGAGTGGAGAAGTTGTTAGGTCGGCGGGCGGATCTGGTTGGTCAGCTGTTTGCACCCAAAGCCCGTTGGCTCCAAATGAAGTGATTCGCAGATGAACACCCTGAAAGCCCAGTCAAAGTCAGTACAGGAACAGCTTCATTGATGCAGAGGATGAGATGCAGCGGATGTTCAATGTTTCATCTATACCTTTGAATGTTTTATGTGGGGATTGTGGGACAATTTTGCCTTGAACTTTCACGTCATTGTTTGGTTTGAGTGAGGGGATGATTTGTTGTTGCTCTTAGAGCTTTGGTTGGATGTAGGTATTGCAATTGCCGATTTGATGAGGCTTTGTTCTCCAGGATAGATATCATGAACGCAAACAGGCTCAAGCGCACCCATTCCCAAGTGGACAGGGCAATGCCATTGTCCGAGCTGATGAAAGCGGCTATAGTGCTGGCTATGGCTACACTCTTACTCGCACTTGTCCTCGCAAGTGTCATCTCAAGTGGCTTCGGAACCCTCACCAGTGCCGTGAAGGCAGAAGCAATCGGAACCTACGCTGGCTTCGGAGGCTTCGCAGGAGGCATCCTCGAGGACACACTTGACTTGGATTGAACTGGAGTGAGTCGTTTGCGTCACCATCATGGTCTAGGATAGCTCGTGTTTGAACCCACTCATCCCGCCTTGCAGGACATTCTTCGCGTTGAAGAATCACCTGCCACTGCTTGTGGGTGCACCTGCCTTTGCTCACTTAGCCTACCTTCATGAGGCTGGAGAGTTGCAAAACGTGGCTTCTCGACCCAAAGCTGTCCCCACCCGTCGGGTTGTCATCCACCAACTTTTTGTGCTCAGCGAACACAACAAAGCTCAAGACATGAGGGCCAAGAAGTCCCATTTCACCGCTGTAGCTTCAACGTGCACCTTGATATCCGCCGTACAGACAGCGTGGCTCCATCTCAGCACTTGTAACACCGGCTCCTCATCAGCGGGCGCTTCGACCTCTGACTCTTTCTGTTGGTGCTGTGCAGAAATGGATTGAAGGCTAGCCTGGGCCGGGGATGAGATTAGCATCAATACTTCGTGCTGTTGGGGAACCCCCATCACAGCGTCGTTCTGGTTACGGTCAGGGAGTCTGTCCTACCCTGCACTATTGGCCTTTAAGTTCTTTCCACAAGTTGTGAGGTCATCTTGCAGCTTCTCAACACGGACTACTGTATGTCAAAAAAAGCGACTTGTCTGTCTTAAAGGCCGCCATTGTCCGATGATGGCTGGGGATGTCAAGTTCATGTTCCATCTGAGTGTTTTGCAAGATTGGATCCGCCGAATCACGCCAAAACCGTCGTTAAACCCGCCACTTCGATGCACAGTAGGGGCTTTGCATGGGGAAGTGGTTGATATAGGGGTCCCCATTTGGAGAAACACAGATCCACTTCTCCCAGTTTGCGCACTGTCCCTTCTCCCATCTTCTCCCCAAAAAACTTTGGAACATTCGAAACAAAGATTGGCTGGATTCCCTACCTCATCGCTACGAACGGAGCGATCGGACGTTACGAACGGGCTCCTGACCTAGTAGGGTCAGGGTCCTTTGCTCCTAGTAGTAGGCCAGGAGCCCCTAGTAGCATCCTTTGCTCCTAGTAGTAAGCCCAAAAGCCCCTAGTAGCATCCTTGCTCCTACTAGTAGACTGGAGTCACCTCAAAGATGCAACAAAGCAATTCATTCACGCCGCAGTTTGCAGGTTTGCTCCTCACATCCGCCATTCTGCGCCACTCCTCACTCACGCACTCCCGCGTTCCCGGGCCGTTTTCACGTGTTCTGGTCCGCATGGTCCTGGCGGTTCAGTAGCCCACTGGCCCAAGTTCAGACTTGGCGCATCCCGGGAAAGCGAGGGAACCGACTGGATTCGCTTCGTTTCCCTCTACCACCAGGGTCGCGGGTCGCATCAGCCGCACCAGTCGTCCGATTCGAAGCGTCGCAGAGGCCCAGCTGATGTCGTCAAGCTTGCACTAAACCGCCTTTCCTTTGTCGAAGGGGCGGTGAGTGAGGCATTCGTGGCCTGGTGGAGCTGCATTTGCAAATATCATATCGCACACGCGACACGGCACCCTGTCTTTGGGACAGCAACGATGGTGCCAAGCATTGGACCCAGCAAGAAACATGTGCCACCCATCCATATGGTCGAAAAACCCAACCTCGGTGAAGAGATGTTTAGCGTTCTACAAATGAGTGCAACTTTCGTGCGCTCAAACGGGTATTGTCTGCATGAAAAAACAGGGGCTGGCCACCTGCGTTTCGTGTCCGGGCCTTGAGGCTGCTGTGTTCCCAAACAGCTTGAGGCGGAATTTGATTGCAAACGTTCCCACCAACCTTTGGAAACCGATCTGACGGAACAAAATTAGGTTGAAACTGTTTGGGTATGGTTGGGTCGATGCTTATGCTGGCATATGCTGTTTCTAATGTGTTTTCTATGTTTTCGCTGGCTGTACACCTTGAACCTCAGATCTGACCAGTCGACCCATCCGTACTGCTGCGACCGGATGTCCAGGAGCCGAGCACGCGATATCCCGGCCGAGATCAGTTGCGGGAGAGCGATTTGACCTTCCAGGCGCCGAATCGATTTGACCAAGCAGGGAGTGATTTGGCTTTATATGGTATGGAAATGGTTGGAATATCAACCAAGACCATGGTGCTGGGGTGGTTATTGGATTGAAAATGCATAAGAAAAGGGGTGTCCATAAACCACCCAATCTCCGTGGTGGAAAATGTGTTGTTTCTTTACAGCTCCTGCTCAGCAAATCCAAGGAGTGGCCCGTGGTCGAACTGTGTCATGGTTCTTCTGGCAGGGTGAGGCCACGGGCCTTTCTTCGATGCCGCCAACACTGCAGTTGTCATTTCAAGATGACTTGTTCAAGGACCAGTCAATGGTGAGATCTGATGAGTATGGTCTATAGTTCATGAATGTACACTCCGAGTCACTAACATGAAAATGGAAAACCTCCTGTTTGTCAAGGACAGCAGTCTTCCTAACATGGTCTGCCTTCACGGGATACTGCGGCTCGGCTGCGGGTCCCCGCAGCGGCGGCACGCCCCGCGGATGTGGCGCCCGCGGCACTTCCGCAGTTTCGGGTGCAAATCGGTTCGTCATAGGTCTCCAAGTGGGGTCCCCACTGGATCCGCTCATGCGCATCCGCTTTGGTTCGTTCCGCTCAAATGGCTTGTGACTTGTAAGCAACGGATGAGAACTGCATGAAGGTATTTGATGCTACTTGTAGGTGATCTTTGACGTGCTTTGACCGATTCATATGTCTTGAAGAGCCTCGTACGAGCAAGAGCCTAATTCATCGCATCGCAGGGTTCGATTCATCGCATAGGTCGACGGGTCGACCACGTTCGGTCCCTAAATTGTTGCGACATGTCTTTTTCTTGGTTTTCTTTCATGTGCGACTGCTATGATTCCAGAATGCAAACCCTTCCCCGGCAACCGGTGTTTTTCACAACTTCAGTCACCACATCACCGGAGGTCTTGGTCGAGAGCCTGAACCGCTACATCTGGGAGAGTGGCCAGTTACTCCGACCAAAGAGAGGGATCGAGACTGCTCTGTGCTAGGTGGCGTGAAGTCCAAAGAAATCAGTTTGGTCTGAGACCGGACGTGAAGCCTGGCCGCGAACACGCTTCAATCAAAGTGGGGATTGGTTTGAAGTTTGAAGATCTTTTTGTTCGGTACAAAGGTGTTTGATGAAGATGTCCACTGGCTCACTGACAGGAGTTGAATCCATCCACTCTTTTGTGGAAATGCCAGGGACGCCCAAACTTCGCACGCTGGATGCATGTAAACCTTGCAAGTAGGCAGCCATTGCAGCAGACGTATGCAAACGTTGCTTCCCAAAGTGCCGGCAGAGCCACATCCAGTGACATTTGCTAAATCAACCTGGTGACATGTTCATGTTCACTCTTCCCCAAGATTCCCCAACAAGGCTCACACTTGTTACAATTAACATGTTTGAGCATCAGTTGGTTAAGGATTCTTCAAGGTTCTCAAATCTTCTTTCTACTGAGATTCTGTTGGACCTTTTGAGCCCTGCGGCTTCCCGAGCGGCCTCCCAGAATTGAACCAAACCATCCAGATGTGTGGTTTCCATTTCAAACCCATGGCAGTAAATTAAACACAGCATCACGCAGCATGCTTGGCCGTGCAGTACAGAGCCACGTAGCTATGTCATAAAAGATTCTGCACATCGTATGAATGTTATTTATCTACGTGGCTGGTGACCCAAAGTTTATACATGTTACTTAGTATTTATCGGCCATGTAGACTACTTACAAAAAAGATGAATGCTCTTTTCTGCCGACCTGTCACACTGAACTCTCAAGGCGAAAACGCACGGACGCACACGCAGTGCCACGCGAGCCGGTGAGGCTCAGCCACTGGCGCAAGTGGTGGCCGGTCTACGGCTTGGCCTTTCTGGGCCTGGCGCCCCAGTCTTCGCTGTTTCGTGGAGAAGACATGGTGGTGTGTTATGATGGTGGTGTGTCATGTGTGTTATGGTGGAGTTCTCGGTGGTTTCCTGGCCTTGGGAGCTTGGAAACACCACCCACCAACTTCCCCGAAGGTTTCTCGCCAGATCAGCATAACATGGCCCCCCCCCCCCCCCAATGAGTAGAAGTCTTACTGCCCGGTACCACATGGGTAGACCCCCTTTCTCGCCCCTGGCTGGATAGATTGGTCTATTTCCCATGTCACCTGAAAGAGGTGGTCGAACTGTCTCACCCACATGTGCAGCCTGATGTGTCTCCCACCGCTTCAATCGAACCCCGACCGACCCACCAAACCGCCGTGTTCCCGCGTGGCAATCGCGTAGTGGCGTCGCATCGCAAACGCGCGCCGGGCACGCTGGATCGCGCCATGCAGTTAGCGCAGTTAGCGGTGCCAGGAGCAGTGTAGTAGCTCCAGGGAAGACCGACCCCCCCGGCACTCCCACCCTGCTGCACCCCCACCCCTTGCACTTGCAGGACATCGACCCCATCGCGAGTGTCGCCATCGCCAGGTGTGCTCGTGGGCGCGTGGCGCTGGCGCCTGGGCGAACGGGAGGTGCGACACGGCTTGGTGCAGCACAGCGCCGAGGTTTGGCGCCAGTGACTGGGACAGAGCAGCGACGGAGGTTTGAGCGACGGATGGGCGATGGGGAGGACGGTGGTGTGTGGGGGGAGAGAGAGAGGGGTTGAGAGAGGTACATGTCGCATTATGTTTGACTTGGCGGGTGCTTGCAAAAGTGGTGGGTGGTCCTTTCTTTCTCGGACTAGGAAGTTTAATAGCCAGGGCAGAATGAAGCGCTGTTTTCGGTCCAGCATGCTTGACACCTTCAATGTACATTCAAAGCATCCACTGGATGCGAGCATTGTTCATGCAATCAGTGAAACAACCTCCTTTGCTGCGTCTTGCCACTGGCTCCTGTGCTCCTTTTGTTGTGGAGAGAAAGACACTCAGCTCCTTCGTTTGTTCCGCATGTGGCTGGGTGGTCGCGAACCTCGCAAGCAGCTCGCGAACCTCGCACCTCGCGAACCTCGCTCGCTGTCGCACCCGAGGTTTCTCAACGAATGGATCCTGTTGCCATTCCAGCAGCTCTGGGAAGCCTTGCTGCTACCTGGCCCCAAGGACTGCATCACCGTGGGCCGTCGGGCCGACGTCTCGGAGGCGGCGTGGAAGGGAGGAGCGAGGGAGGGCAGAGGAAGAAAGGGTAGGTCACGGTGAGGAAGATCACTGTAAATACTTACAGATTGACCACTATACCTTCACATCACGTTCAATGATTTATTTGGTCTACCTTCACATCCACCAGGCACCGTATACATGATTTCGTGCTCAGATCCGCGTGCTGCTCACCACCGCCTTAAGGCGCTCGCGGCTCGGTGAAGCTTGCCTCGGCGCCGACCGGACAGGAGGAGTTGCGGGTTCAACTGCGAGACCTTCGCGCAGAGGAGGCAAGCCACGGACCTGGGAGATATGTGAATTTTCGGGGTTTAAAACATAAAGACAAGGGCGAAAATGGTGATGAGAAGTGCGACGGCTTTGGTCTTTGGAGTCTTTGGTAGTTCAAATTGATCAGAGAAGCTGTGATTCAGTGAAGAGATGTGAAGAGACCCCTGTGGCCATACACCAGGCCCGTTGAGGTGGTTGTTTCCTGACTTTTGGTGGCTTAGGAAGTGAGACAAAGAGAGAACGTTCAAAAGATCGGCCATACACCAAGCAGTTCAGCAGAGCTAATAGCATGGATGACATATGAGAACATGGAGAACATCAGCCAAACTCCAAGCAGTTTTGGACTTAAAGAGGATCTTAAGAACTTCGAACCTTCAACGAACCTCCAGCCGCATCCGGGTCGCCCCAATGATCCGCAGGAGGCGCTGGAGCGGATGGTCACCAGCTTCGCGCGCTTCGCGCGGGCGGAGTCCACCTTCGCGGTGAAAGGCAAGGAGGGCAGCTTGGCGCAGAAGGGTGGCGCAGAAGGGTGAAAAGTAGTCGTCATACATGGTAGTCTAGTAGTCTTTGGTAGTCCCAGACAGAGTGAATTGAAGTGCAAGAAAGTATGAGAGAAGCATCTTGAAAGGAATCACGAGAAAGGCTGGAAAGCAGATGAAAGGAGTTTCTGTACATTCGCTGTCAATGCTATCGCTGAGGCGTGGAGGACGCGGCCTTGCCGGAGCTGTATTTCGAATGGTCCATGAGACTTGGTGGAAAGGAGGAGTTGTTTAAAGACTTATTTCTCTTATCACCCTGAGGGAAGGCAACATTAATTGGAAGCAAGACTGTTCATGCCAAGAGACGAGTTGGCGCAGATCTTTGGTTGATGCTGTTTTCTTCCTTTGAGTAGACTATCTAAGTCTTCAGATCTCATAGATAGCCCTATAGACGGACTTCCTAAACGAAGCGGTTCCTCGACATTGGTGGACAGCCCACTTCACCCAGATGAACTGCCCACTTCACTGCCAGCGAGTCACGGCGCGATTGCAAGACTATAGACTAGACCAGGAGTCACAGGTCGGGGTGGTTTTTGGTCCCATCCAGGGGCTGTGGATGTGATGGTCGGCACCCCGACTACCTCCATGGATAGCACCCCGACATGTGACTGCTGGTAGACTAGTAGATGTCTTTCAATCTATAAGAAGCCACTGGGCTTCACGGACGGCCGAATTCCCTCTTTTGTGGTATACATTCCCTAGGGCTCCAGTCGTACCTCCTCAGGTTCGGTATCTGGACCCGAACATGGCACCCACCCCAGTCCCACCGTACCTGAGAAGGTACGACTGGAGCCCTAAGGATTCTCCACATGCAAAATGCACTGTCCTCCCCCAAGTTCACCGCCTTCACGTCGCGAGGGCCGTTCACGCACAGCCGAGGACGAACCCCATCAGCAACGTGGTGACGGGCCATTTGGCCGAGCCGGGCTGCCGAAAACACGCGTGGCACGTGGCACGTGGCGGTTTGGAGGAGGTGGATGGGAGGAGGTGTCCATCCAGAAGAGGAGGTGAATTCCGTAGGATTTTCTCACAGATAGACCAGGGCGGGTTTCATTCTTCAGGATTTGATGGGGTCGAACCGGTCTTCCCGCACTTTGGGTGAGTGAATCAGCAAGCTCCAATCTCCCGTCATTCGGGGATCGGAGTGGTGAACTTGGCAGCGTGCCGCCGCGGAGAAGGTGCGACACACACGCCGGGATCGCAGGTCGCGGTCGCAGGTCATGATGACTTCTTGGGGTGACGGAACAAGACATGTGCAGCTTGGCAGGTGGCTTCGTGGATTCTGCTCCCCCACCTATCAATAGTACTGACTATTGCGAGCCATCCCTTTGCCAAGGTCGTGCATGGTGCAGAGTCAGAAGCTCAAGGTCTTGCTGTATGCGCCTTGGATGAGTTTGAATCCGTGGATAGAGGGCGAACAACAACTATTTGAACCAGGCTGAAATGACGACCAATTTTGAGGAGGCCTCTATTTCGTGGTCCGAGTTGTGTACATGTGTCTAGCTGGTTGAGTTGTGGAGGACGTAGTGAGTGCGATCAGTTCGGTTTGTCCTACAAAACCTGTAACATCCTGTAACAGTCCGTAAACAGGCAAATTACTATTTGTGGCAACTGAACCCCTGGTATTAAGATGGGTAGTAACATGTAGTAACCTATGTGGCAATATGTGGTCCCTGCATGGTTTCCCTGCATCCCTTCCTCCTGACTCTTGTGGCAGGAATATATTTCCAGACTCTAAAAGAGGTGGACTTGGGAATACATCATGACCTAGGAAGCTGCGATGCCGCATCGGCTTCCTGCGTTGCGTTGCGTTGCGTCAAGCCGCCGATCCTTCCGTCGTCCCGAGTCGTCCCGGGCCGCTTCGGCAAGCCGGTCCTGATGCGTGGGATAAACATGCAACGAGTACCCCAGACCATCCACGTATACATTAACCTCATGTAACAGCCCGAATGGAGGTCATGATTTCAGTTCCATGGATGGTGGATACTACAAGATGGTCTGGGCTTTTCTTCGGGAGGTATCAGATCATCGCTCTCTCTCTCTCTTGGGATCCAGTCGTAGCTCCGAAACGAAGGTGTTGGGACCCTCCCACGGCGCCTAGTGTCAAAGTGTCGAACACACATCACCGTACCTCAGAGGGCATGTGAATCTAGAGGGACTGATCATCTCCATTTCCATCCGGACTACTCTTCACGACAGGTCACAACAGGTCATGATACCCCCAAGTTTGGTGGTTTCTATGGACCTCGTGGGGGGAGATCGTGTCATCGAACCTCGAAGGAGTCACCAGCTGGACGTCCGCACCAAAAAACAGCTCCACCTCCTTCTCATTCGAGTCCCGGCCGAGAGCGGAAGCGGCGTTTCCGGTGGCGATGCTTCCAGGCATCGCTCTACTCCATCGATGCTGTGATGATGCAGCTGAAGTGGGACTTTCTGATGGCACCTTGAACGTCACACCTACGACGGTCACGGTGACGACGTGAGTTCCGACTTTTGGTCCAAACTGAAAAAGCGGAAGTCAACCCGGCCGGAGCTTGCCCCAAAAGCGGGCCAGGTTTGGACTGCGAACTGGTTGAACTTCATTCGAACTGGAGATCCTTTTGGACTGCGAACTTGTAGATGAGCGAAAGGCAGACCATGCTCCCGTGCTCCCATGCCCCCAAAAAAATAATCCAAAGGCTGGGCACTACCCACTACCAGGCACTAGTTTACAGGCCATCAGCAAGTATCAACGATCGCCACCGGCTGGGAAGGGGCTGCCAAGGATCCAGGAAATTAGACCAAGAGTTGTCACGAAAGCTAGCACCAGCTAGCTGGAGTTGTCCTTGCTTTAGCAAGTGAGGGGCTGGAATCCAGTTGGATGGCATGGGCATGAGAAAACCTGCAAGAGTTGTTGGTGCCCATAGCTCAGGCAGGTGTGATGCCCACCACCCTGCTGTGTGGCTGCGTGCACCTTGGTTTGGACAGCCGACGCGAGTGGCGGGAAAGGGCAAGGTGGTCAGCTCCACGCTGAATGCCGTTGACAAACTCAAGGTGGGAGAAAGCAAAGTAAAAAGAGAAGCATCGGTTTACCTGCTCTTTGTTGCTTTCTCTTGGAGCTCGAGATTACTACCGTGCCTTCGATCCTTTGTACGCTTGCAGCTCGTCCATGAGCAGCTAGAAAGGCCACTGCATGTTGGGAATATGCAAAACAGTTTTTCTCCTGACCACATAGCAAATAGAATTGCCTTGGTGATATGAAGGAGGCAGAGCCCTATGCGACGTATCCAACCATAGCCAGTGCTTTTTGTGAACTACTGAAAGACCAGGAGCTCTTTTTTAAACCACTTAACGATCCCTTGTAACTAGTAGCTTCGTGTTCCTAGTAATGCCAGGAGCTATACTAGTAGCTTCTTGTTCCGTTCGCAGCGATGCAATTGATACTAGTAGCGCGTTCGTAGGCCGGGGAAATCTGTGTTGTATGACACTCGTCCCTAGGGCTCTGTCCTCGTCCTTCCAAACCGCTTCGGTATGACTGAAGCAACTTCGAGACCCGTTCGGGACGATGACAGAGCCCGTTTTCCTTTCTGGGCCGATAGGTAGAGGTAGGTAGAGGTAGCTAGCGATGGCCTCCTATAGCCAATAGCTTACTCCTCTTGGCTACTAGGGGCACTCCTGGCATTACTACAAGAAGCTACTATATTCTTCCTTTTGAGGAACCCCAAGATCCCAAATGGCTTCAATATATCAAGATGGATTCCAGAGCCGCTTCATGAACTCGGTCACCAACTACCGGTCCGTGTGTGGAAACTGCGAAGAAATGGCCTTATGCCATGAGATCATAAGTCATAAGACAGATCATAAGACAGAAACACTTGTAATCAAATATCCATGAACTCCATGAACTCCTGTATTTTCACTCCATGTAATATGTACATTTTGTACTTTGCACATAGTAGGATGTCATGTACCTTGACTTCGCAGCTCGCGGCCCAAAACAGGAGTTGCAGCTTAACGGCTGTTTCTATAGGTTATCAGCCGTAGTGCTCTAACCACAGCCATGGACGCTCTTGCTATTCCTGGGAACGGCACATCATCGGTAGCAGTCCCAGCCGGTCTCATGACTGAGCCCACGGTGGATCTAGATGACCCCATGGGCTCAGCTCCTGTCACAGCTTACTTTCAGTTTGTGCAGCAAAACATCCAACAAGTGTACAACGGAAATGAAGATGCTATTATTGCTGAGGCAGAGAGAAGGCATAAAGAGATAATGGGACAATGGTTGGAAACGGTAAGAACCAAGTTTCGTCAAGCAATCGATGAAGTAGCGAGCAAGCATCATGAGGAACTCAGTTCGGTAAGGCAGCAAGCTCAATCTAGCTACAACCAAGTGCAAGGGGAACTTAGCGCTGCAAAAGCGCGGATCCTGAAGCTAGAGAGTGAAAGGTCCATTGAGGCTGAAGCCAGAAAAGCAGAACTGGACTCCTTGCGCATCCAGCTCATGCACGATTGTCAGCAAACTGTCACTGCCATCACCAGCGGCCGAGCAAGGTGTGGCAACGCTTCGTGCAGAGTTTGATGAGCGGGAAACTCAGCTTCGACGAGAGCTACGCGACGCAGAAAATGAAAACTATAGCCTGCAGCAAATGCTCGATGACCTTAAAGCCAAAGTGCATGCTGAACCCGAGTTAGAGTACCGTCCAACAAGTGTCATGAACACACCAGTGTCTACCCCTAGGCATGATGACACTAAGAGGAAAAATCCTCTGGAGACCATTGCAGCAGAGGCTACTGCACGTTTGAGTGGACTGTTCGCACCCAAAGCGCCGACGGCCACCATCATCGGTGATGCCCCACCAGGGGCAGCTGCTCCTATCAAGCCCGTGCTTCCAGTTTACGGAGGTACAGCAGCGGATGGGGGCAAAACACCGACACATATGTTCCATAGCCCTGCACCTTCAATTCGCGAACCCCATAAGCCAGCGTCATCAGGTGCCATCACCTCTGAGCAGGTGATCGAATTGGTCAAGTCACTCACTCAAAGAGAGTCAGATGAGAAGCCAAAGGTAAAGGAGGCAGATCACATCAAATTGAATGACATGCCAACCCCTGAAACCTATCGGCAGTGGAAACATCATGTGAGGGACGAAATCAAGTCATGTTCTGACAAACCAGATGCCGCCTGGGACTGGTTAATGGAGGTTTACAACACTGTTGATGAGAGGAAAGTTCTGGAAGAGCGGTTGTCTAACCCTGGGAAGTTCACAACGTTGGATACCAAGTTGGCAGCTGCGCTGACCAGAAGTGCAAAGGGTGATCTAGCAAACCGAATCATCAATTACAAAGAAGAGAAGGCAAAGCTAGGCATCCAGGTTCGAGGAAGGATGATTCTTCTCATGTTCGACGACTATTTCAAGACCTCGGAAGAAGCGGGTAGCCTTTACAGGGTTGAAGATCTCCTCAATGTGGTAAAGGTAGGCGATACTGTAGCGGACTTGAAGCGTTTCATCAACCGCTGGGACGCTACCATCGCTGGTATGCCCGAACCACCGCATGAAAACGTGCTTCGAGACATCCTTTTAAGGCAGATCCGCACTAGCACGATCCTAAGGTACGACATTGACCTTTTCGATCGTGCAAAAGAAGGTGACCATCATCGGTCTTACAAGTTTCTACTGCAAAGCATCAAGGATCTGATAGATCGGGAACGCCTTCGTGAGAATCGGTCACGTATCGCGGAGCGAAATCGGCTCAAGCCAGGTGATCGACATGAGAAGAACGCCGCCCCTACTGTTGATCCTCGGCGAAAGCGTTCGCCATCGCGCGGACGATCCACTACTCGGGAGAAGGGTGTTTGTTGGGCCTTTTTGGAGGGAAAGTGTGCAAAAGGGAAAGATTGCAAGTTCAAGCATGAAAAGCCCAAGCGTGATCCTTCCAAGAAGCGCCAACCATCCCGGGAGCGGAATGAGTCGAGGGACAAAAGCACAGATAAGGAGAAGAAGCGGATGACTAAGGAAGAGATGGCGAAGACCCCATGCAGGTACGATCAACAAGGTACATGCAGAAGAGGAGACAAGTGCTTTTTCAAACATGGAGAAAAGGCAGCGCCGGCTCCGAAAACGAAGCCAAGAAAGGACTCCCCAAAGCCAAAGGCAAAAGGAGATACCAAGAAGGCTGCCATTTGCCTGAGCAATCGGTTTGCATGTCTTGCGACTGGTGTGCCCGGACGATCATGTCTTAAGAAGTCCTGTCTTCCTCCAGCGAGAAAGAGGTCTAAGTCGTCTGTCCGAAGAACTACATTCGTTATGAAACCTGAAATTCGCACAATCCCTGCTCGCGGGGAACACTGCAAGATGGTCAAGCGTGAGCGCAAGTATAGTGTGCATTTTGCCACGAGCGATCGCGTGCCCAAGAGCGACCCAAAGGCAGCCCACATGGCCAAAGTAAAAGCTAGGCAGTTGGCTGAAGTTGTCCGAAGCTTTAATAGCGCAACAGTGCCCTCATGTCGTTTTCTGTGCACCGAGTCTTCGCTTACTTGTCGTGAGTGCCGAAGCTTGATCAAGTTGAAGACATGTCCTACTACCATCCCGACTATCGTTGCTGGTCCAGCACCAAGGGAAGGCAGGTTCTCATGGCTTGTCGATTCTGGGAGTGAGCAAGACCTCCTCAGCAGGAAAGTTATGGACGCTGCTGGTGCGGAAAACCCAAGACGGGCTCCTCACACCATCAGTCTCATTACTGCGAATGGGTCGACTGAAGCCAGTGAGGTAGCTGACGTCAAGATGAAGCAGCTACTGGAGCCTTGCACGCCGTATTTTCTGGATGAATGCCCTGCTGTGCTCTCAGTTGGCATCAAATGCCTTGACCAAGGGTATAGTTTCGTGTGGCCAGCGAACGGTACTCCGATCCTTGTGCGACCAGATGAGAAAATCGTTCAACTTCGCGTTGATGGTCATGTCCCAGTCCTCGACTCCGAGTGCAAAGTCTTTGGAAAGGGCAAGTTCAAGAAGGACAAGCCTTTGAAGAAGCTGTTTGCAATGCCGGGAGCAATCTCGAGCCCGTCGGATAAGAAAGAGGATGAGGGCATTGACGAGGAAGTGCCAGACGACGAAGAGAGCCGTTTGGTGCGATCAAGAAAAGTCGGAGACTTGATGCGTGAAGCACAGTCCGCAAAACACCAGTATCACCACTTCCCCAAGAACCCATTCTGCAAAGTGTGCCAGCGAGCGAGGATGCTTGCACCACAGGCACGAAAGAAAGGGGGTGAGAGCCGCATTCAGACTAAGGCCTTTGGTGATCATCTGATCGCCGACCACGTCGTCGTGCGCGCGAACATCGAAGAAGGGAGTCGTGGTGAACGGGTAGCGTTGGTTGTGAAAGACCTGCATACAAAGTTCCGGAGTATTTACCCATCCCAGTCAAAGAGTTCGGATGAGGTAGTGATTGCTCTTCAGCATTTTGTTGCCCCGGATGATGCAGTCGAGGTCATTTACACCGACAATTCCCGTGAGCTGATAGCTGGCATCAAGGAGTTAGGGTATCGCCACCAAACCTCCGTTGAGTACGTGGACTCCTCCAAGAGCTTCATTGAAAGGGAAGTTAGGAACATGCTTGAGGGAGCACGCACCAATCTTGTTCAGTCCGGAATGCCCCTCCAGTACTGGCCACTCGCCATTCAACATTTTGCAATGGCAACGAACACGAGTGATCAGCTGGACTCATCTCCAAGCCCATGGGAACTGCGTTTTGGAGAGATGTTCGAAGGCATGGCCATTCCGTTTGGTGCAAAAGTCCTATTCTGGAACAACCCCAATCGAGCCGACAACACAGCAGGAAAGCTGTCGCCCACTTCGGTGGAAGGTGTGTTTCTTGGTTATCATGTACAGCCAGGACACAAGTGGCGTGGGGAGTACCTAGTTGCTAAGTTGGAAGCACTAGACTACCATGTTGAACACAACAGTTTGACGATC